CTATAAAATATAGCAGGATGACGATTAAAGTGGTTTTTAACAATATGTCATATAGAGGTGTGAAAAAAGTGGACCAGAACTCCCTTTTTTGCTCTACTAAAGCATAATTTGACTGCTGACTCCACTCCAGAACAATTAAGAAAACATGCTCCAGAACTTAATGTTCAATTGCATGATTGGAAGGCCCGCAAGTGTGTTAAAGATCTCTTTGCCAGATGCACTGATAAATGACGCACATTTAGCAAAGAGCAGATAGAGGCTCTTGTACCAGATAAGAGAAAAGAAAAACTCACCATAGAGGAAAGAGCAAAATATTGTGCTAAGACTGGTGATAAGTGGGACATTTTCATTCATTCTCGTGACATAGGTCCAAAAAGTAATGATGATAAAGAAATTGTCGCCAGTTGTTCATGGCTCTCACTATTTCATAATGAATTGCTGAAAGTTGGTGTTGCTTGTGAACTAATTGATACTTATGCCAAAGACTCGAATGTTACTACAGCTTCTAACAAAATTCAGAAAAAACGGACTGAGCGAGATGTAGCCAATAATCAGTTAAAAATTCCACCATATTTCTCCTTAGAAAAGGGACTTAAAAGGATTCAGAATATCGATACTACTAATGATTCCTCATTACAGGATCTTGCAGATATAATGATGATGTTGTGTATGAGGCCGGCTGAAGTATCTAGTCTCCAGATCAATCACTATGAAGTTGACCCTTCCAGTCCTCTAGCATGGCATAAAAATGGTTATTCTTGATATTGTATTAGATATGCTAAGAATAAAGAAGAAAATAATGATAATCCAGAGCCTCGCACATTTCTTGTCATGGAGAAGAATCCAGAACGTGCAAGAACACTACTCATCTGGATTCAAGAAGCTATAAAGGCTAGAAAGTTGGGTGATCCCACCTTTAGTGAAAATGGAAAGCGGAACACTAGGGCATTTAGCGAATTCCTGAAGCCTCATAAAATTACGCCTAAAATATTAAGAAAAATAGGAGGTAAGCATGCCTGCAGAGTCCATGGCGGACCAAACCCAACTCATCAGCATCTTGATCTTCTTAACAGAATAGTATTGAGACATAAGATTGTCCGTCTAGATGCAAGAAAGAATTACGCTATAGATGATACAGAATCAGAGGAGTCTGACTCCAAACCAGAGACAAGTGACAGTTCAAAACCCCAAATACAGGCTTCTTCGTCATCTCAAACAATAGAAATGGATTTAATGTTAGCTGAAATTGATGCAATGTTAGCTGAAATTCAGAAATAAATACCAGAAGGAGGGTCGGGTAGTGAGCACTTGTTTAGAGAATTTTCGCTGGGCCCTCCTCTTTTTTCTCACAAGCTCGAAAAAAGATATATGATTAACTGTTTTAGAAACTAAAAATCTGTTAACTAACTATATCTGGCTTCAAGCAAGAATTGCGAGAAGGCAGGATTACAATTGAGAGATATATTTTTATATTAATATTTTTTTTCTTATAAATTGGCAGTGTCGAAGTGAAATAAAAATTTATGAAGTATATACTCCTCCTTTTCTTCACTAATCATTCACTAGATTGATCAGTCGTTGGTTCATACTTATTAAATAAAAGCCTTAGTTAATAAAATCCACGTTAAACATGTCTAATATTCAAGATATTTTTGAGGAATGGGAAAAAAATAATTATACTCGATATATATTATCTGAATATGGCTTAAACTATATTAGTAATTTAAAAACACCAAAAGCTTGGCTACGATTTGCAAAGTATTATCTGCTCTCCATATGCTTCTTTGTTATTAGTTAATGATAAAATTAGAAAACAAATCCCTAATATTACAGATACTACATTGTGGAAGAAAGTAGAAAGATCGCAAAAGCTTTATACACTCTTTATTAATATTATACTTAGCATTTTGAAACCGAAAAATTAATCTACTGCACTAGTCACGTGGGATCACATGTCCTGACCGCTGAGGTCAAGATCGATAATGAAAATATTAATGTTTTTTTACTCCATATACTTAGCTATAAAATTAATAAAGTTTTTATATTTCGCTATTATTCGATTTTTAAATATATTTATCTATTGCAATTATCTACCATATGAGGCTTATAATTTGTTTATAAGACAGCGAGTTTGTATAAAAAATTTAGCCACGTATATATTATTTTTTTCTATTAATATAACAATGAATAATATACTTACAAATCA